TCTACATTTAAATAAAATTCAGCTCCTTTATTCTTCATGCCAAAGTGCATCACCTCAAATTTTCCCACATTATATTCCATCTGCCAAATTTTTCCCTACTCACAACTTGCCTATATCCCTCCCAGGTTCTGTGTCATCCACAGCACTGGCCTCCCACCTGTTTGGATCATCTGCAAACTTGGTTATAGCACATTCACATCCTTCATTAATATGTATTGATTAAACAAACCATTAGTAAATGTTGTAAATAGATATATATTCTAAGTAATTGTGGTCCAGCATTGCTTTCCCCATCCACTGCAGCTAGCTTTGCTCTTGTTCCTTTATAATTGCCCTCAAGTTAAACACAGTTGTTTCTGACCTAAGCTTCTCACTCAGAAACTGAATGCTAACATCTACCATTATGGCCTCTGTTTCCCAAGAGATCTTTTACTCTGAGATCACTTATTAACCTCTCCTTATTATACATCAACATATCCAAAATAGCCTGATCCCTGCTTATAACATATTGTTCTGAAGAACTGTCTTGCATATACTATGAACTCTTTCTCATGGCTGTCTCTTCCAATTTGACTTTTTCAATTTATGTGAAGATTTAAGTTACCCATGACTAATATACTGACTTTTTTCTTTACATGTCCTCTACCTCCTTATTTATTCTACCTCTTGTACAGCCTTTAGGGAGCCTATAAACTACTCCCACCAGTGTCTTCTTTCCCTTACATTTCTTTCTCCACACATATGGATTCTACTTCTGCCAACCCAAGATCATTTCTTACTATTGCATTTATTCCATCCTGCACCAACAAACCTACCCCACATTTCCTTTCTGCTTGTCCTTTCAAAGTCATATGCTCCTGATTATTTAGTGCCTAGCTTTGATATCTTTGTAAGGTAAACAAACAGGAGGCTGGAAGAACACAGCAAGCCAGGCAGCATCTGGAGGAAAGGCGAAGTCAACTTTTTGGGTATTACACTTTTTTCAGGACCTGTCTGGTTTGCTGTGTTCTTCCAGCCTCCTGTTTGTCTACCTTGGATTTCAGGATTTGCAGTTTCTTTTTTGTCTCTTGATATCTTTGTAACTCTGTCTGTGTATTGGCTATTACCTCACACCCATTAATCTCTATTTATTCCATTAATTCACTTAGTTTATTCCAAATACCATGGACATCCAAGTAATGAGACATTCATTTTGCCATTTACTCCTTTCTCTCCCCTTTGACTCTATTTGCCGCTTTTCCACATTTGTATACTCTGGGCATCATTACTTAAAAAGCTGGCTTGCAATGCTGGGATATTAGTTTGCTTTGTGAGCTTACATTTACCCTTTCTAAACCCTTTTCCCACCTCTAATTAGTTTAAAGCCCTCTCTCCAGCTAAGGTACTCAATTGGTCAGGACATTGGTCCCAGCATAGTTTAAGTACAGCCCACCCAACTGGAACCCATTCCACACACACCAATCTTTGAGCCACTCATTTAATTCCTTGATTTAATATTTAACCTATGCCGTTTGCCTATGGTTCAGGTAGTAATCCAGAGATTGAAAGTTCTACATTTTAATTTAGTTCCTCAGTGTTCAAATTCTTTCAGCAGACCTTTTCTAGTGGTAAGAATGTCATTAGTACCAACATGGATGATGACAACTAGTTCCCACCCATCCCATCACGAGTTCCTCTCCAGCCCCAGGCGGGATATCCCTATTCATACCGTTCCCTACCACTACTAATTTCCTATTTCCTACCCCCAACTTGAATAGCTCCCTTATACTATGGTGTTATGGTCAGTTCACTCATCCTCCTTGAAGGCCACACACACCCACACAACTTGTATGAAACCCAACAGCATTTGACACATATGGAAACCAAGGCTCCTCAAATGTAACTGTCTGTATCAATACATGTTGCACACTCCTGTCCCTAATCACAGATCAAATTTGAATTAGAGATAACATAGTGTGGAGCAGGAAAGCTAGCGTTTCTGGTCAGGACCCTTCTTCAGAAATGGGGGAGGGGGAAGGGAGCTCTGAAATAAATAGAGGAAGGGTGAGGCTAGGGAAGATAGGTGGGATGGTGATAGGTGAGTGCAGGTAGACTGTTGGGGATTGGTCAGTGAGGTGGGAGGAGCAGATAGGTGGGAGAGAAGATGGACAGGTTGTCAGGTCAAGGAGGCGGGGATGAGGGGGAGGGTTGGTCATGGGATGAGGCCGGGGGTGGGGAGATTTTGAATCTAGTAAAGTCCACATTCAGACCATTGGGTTGTAGGCTCCCAAGACAAAATATGAGGTGCTGCTCCTCCAGTTTCCGGGTGGCGTCATTGTGACACTGGAGGAGGCCCAGGATGAACATGTCATCCAGGGAGTGGGAGGGGGAGTTGAAGTGGTTCGCGACTGAAAGGTGTTGTCGTTTGTCGCGAACAGGGCACAGGTGCTCTACAAAGCGGTCTCCGAGCCTCCGCTTGGTCTCACCTAGTCTGAGGGGTATGACTGCCTCCTGGAGGAAAGTGTTCAAGTAACTTTCACCCTCCCTGATGTGCTGTAATACCTGCAGCTCAGACTCTTACTTCTTTGGATCCAAAGTGCCTCAAGGTGTAAATGCTTCATACAGATGTATTAGATCTGGATTACTTTGGTGTTCAGCAGCTTCCACGTGCTATGGCAGCAACGTATTACCTATTCTCCAAATATCATCCCCAGTACGGATGAAATTCCCAGTTTTACTCTTTAGACCTTTGTCTAGATCAAAGACAAAATCTCCACTATGCTGATTGCACTACACACAAAAAAAAAAAAAATCCTTTTTTTTTTTAAAAAATAGGTTCTGCTCAAAATCACTTCTTAGCTCCAGTAATCAGCACCTAACTTAGACAAAGGATTTCAACTTGCACGCTAGCGGCCACTATCATGCAACCTCCTTTTAAAATTAGGCTAACTAAAACTTATTTAAAAAGACTACCTCAGGACATCCCAAAAAAGCAAAATCACAGTAACCATGTAGGAAACAGGGCAAGATCTCACAAACAGTAATGAGATAATAATCAGATAATCTGGGTTAGTTACATCAGTTGAGAAATAAGTATTAGTCAGGACTCAGAACTTGCCTGGAACTATTTAAGTGTGACAGAGTCCTTCCATTGTCATGGGATCTTATAAGCTCACTTGTAAAGATGGGGCTTTGTTTCAATAACTGTTTCAAAATATAACACTAACACTCCTTAAGTGTCAGTATAAGTTAGTTTATCCAAATGTGTGTCTTGCCACAGTTGGCTGAGTTACCTTCCCCATATCATTGTGTATGCAGTCAAACGTGACAGTCCCAAACAGCAAATGACATGAACTAATATTTTTAGTGGGGTGGTTACTGCTTTGCAGAAATGGCTTGAAGACTTGGTTAAATCCCTGAATCAGCTGTGATTGTACATTGCACCCTGCCTCATTTTACCCCATGTGTTACATGTGGAGTGGTACCCCCCCAGCTACATTTCTCTTCAACGGACCTAGATGCCTATGATTCCTCATAGAATATGGATATTTACTTACTTAATGTTAATGACATTGATTAAGGGAACAATCCTGATTACTGTACTGGGACAAATCCTCATCTTTCTTCAAAGGTCATCAGGGTATCTTTTATGTCCACCTGACATGGGCAGATTAATGACCTGATTTAAAAGACCACAATTCCAACAGCAGTGTTTCCTCAGTATTGCATTGCAATATCAGCCTTCATGAATCTCGTCTAGAATGCTAAACCGAGCTTGCAAATTTGGAAAACATTCCCAATAACTCTCCTAGAAAACAAAACTGGATTTTTTTGAGACTCAATTCTACATAAACATGCTGGGAAACAACTGTGTTCACAGATTCAGATATGGTAGATGGGTATAAAGTTTTTGTTTTATGAGCCACCCATCAGTGGCAACCTTGGCTCCACACCCCTTTTAACCAAAGATAATGGCTTGCAACAAAAATAAATTGGGAAAAAACTCAGCAGCCTGGGCTGCATGCACATTATTTTGTTTTATTTCAATAGTGGATTCTGGGTCCATCTGCGACTTTTACACAAGGTCTAAGTCAATATCGTGCATGGGTATTGTAGATGAATGTGGAACAACATAATAGATGGACAGGATTTGGTGCAAATTAGGACATCAAATGAGCAACAATTTTTAAAACAGAATTACATTTCAAACCATTTGTAAAAGTCATAGGAGCTAATGGGAAAAAAAAAATTTGATTATTCATCTCTGATAAGTTATTGTATTGAGTAGGAAGCTAGATTGCTGGTTCCTGGTTTTCACGGTGTAGAAACACAAAACCATCCAGTTTTCCCCAAAACATTAACTCCTCTTTGAGAAGAAAAGTTCAGGCTTTCCTGTCAACTTTGGGTCTGTCACTAGCTGCAGGACAGCCTTACATAGAATCACACAATCCCTACAAAGCAAAAATGAGGCCATTCAGCCCATTGAGTCTGCACTGACCCTCCAAAGAGCACCACACCCTGATCCAATCCCCCTCCCCTTAACCCTGCAATTCCCACAGTCAATCTACCTAACCTGCATGTTTTTGGAGGAAACCAGAGCGCACAGAGGCAATGCAGACACAGGGAAAATGTACAAACTCCACAGTCACCCAAGGTTAGAATTGTACCCAGTACTGTGAGGCAGCAGTGGTAACCACTGTGCCGTCCCACATTAGAACCACTGACACAAACAGCTGCAATCACAAAAACTCCGGTTATATTATCATACCTGCACTAACTGGTTACCGAGAGATGGATGTCAGCATGCCCAGAGACGCTGATTTGGTGATACAAAAAATGGATTACAATGATATTCATTGCAATCAATAAATAAAATGGTTTGGGGAAACATAGGGACGGAGGGTGATTCTCACAGATCAGTTTAGATACCAAGGTTGTTAATGCACCCATTAGCAGAGGAATTGACTGATAAATTACAATTCTAAAAAAAGCAAATGAAAACAAAGGCATGAGAAACTCTATACCACAAAACAAGATTTTATTTATGAACAGTTACGCACAGAAATACAGAGGTATTTGACATGTCAAATAATATGGAATGTTTGTGAAATATTTAAAATAAATAGATATCTGTAAGTGCCTTTTTCCAGCACCAACTGAGGAAATGCCCATTCTGTTAAGTCTCCTGCCGATGAATGTCTACCACCAGGTCCACGAATGTCAAGACCTTGAGATTGGTCAGTCGATAATCTGACTACAAATAAAACCCATTCACAATAGCGTTATGCTTTTCTAGTTTATTCATTGTTGTCATCTCTTATTTCTTTAATAATAGTTATTAAATTTTGAAGTCCAAAGATATAGCCAGTGTCCTGTCCTTCATGGACTACGCTGTCTTCACCAAAATACTTGCATGTTGTGTGAGCGAAGTCAATCACACGGACATCAACCATACTGCTGCTGGAGTTTGAGTAAGCATATGCTCCTGCAGATTCATCAGCTGACTCTTCAGAAAGGTCTTCAGAATATTCAGAATCGGAATCTGTAGCCGACTCTTTGCCATCATAAATTATAAGCAGGGAACTGGAGTAAAAACGGTATGACTCCTGTTTCTCCAGGACAGATTTTAGTTCAGACAGTTTCTTAAGAACAGGTTCAAAAAGGTCCCTGCGTAAATACTTTCCATTATTTAAAAATTGGTAAAGTGCTTCTTTAAACCCTTGTACAGAAAGCTTCCTTCCATGGTATTTATTCATGAACATGAGCTGGCCAGAGTCTACTTGATATACCTGGAGAGAAAATATAACATTAATATCAAAATACAGTTTTCCTATGACATCATATAAAGCTGGTCCACATTTAAAAGAAATAGCATCAAGTTTGTCAGTCACCATGTAGTATGTCAAACCAACAACTGCCAAGGAACAGGTGAAGAATTCAGCTTTTAAAGAAAGCAGAATTGTGGGATGTTGCTTTCTATCTCTTCAAACATGTGCATAACCAACTCTGACATTGTCCCAAATCACAAATATATACAAATACCTCTGCATTTTTGTTCAATATGGTACTATGGAAATCTATTTCTGGCCTGACATAAATTTATCAACAGTTCTATTACCTGAACTACTGAAAGATATTTGTTACTTAAAAGTGGCAAAGTGAACACTAAGTATAAAGATCCTTTGTCCAGAATGTTGAACATGAATATTCAACATTGAATACAACAGGATGCCACTTTTATTAAGACCACTAAATTTGGCAATAATTGTACTGCTCCCTTTCAATTTGTTTTAAGCAATTAAAGTTGCACACAGTCTAGTTAAATTGGGGATTGGACAGAAACTGGAAGTTGAGATTGAAGTTCAGCATTACTGAAAGCAGAGCAAGCTCAAAAAAGGTGCACACTGTCCACTCCAGCACCAAATTTCTCAACCTCCAAATTTTAAATGTGCTACACTCAATGTAGCTGTTTGGAAGAGACCAAATGCAGCATTCTTCCATTCCCATTCACTAATGTTCCTTGCTAGACTTCTTTCCGCAACCAGAACATTCTCTCAAGGCACATACGCAGTTTAGCCTCTTTCAAGTTTGCACGCACACGGAATGAGGCAAAAAAATTTAAGGGCCTACACACTATTTTAAAAAATGGTATAATTACTTTCCACTTAGAATAAAGCTATGACATAATCATTAACATACACACCTGCATCCCGCAGACTCGAACACCAATAATGGCTGAAGTGCTTTGCTGACATTTACGGATTTGATTAGCTTTCTTTTCCTCAGATGCATCATCCCCATGTTGGCGTGTTCCCATTTTCAAGTCCAGAACACAAGGGACTTCATAACGGCATGTTAAATTCTCCAGTAAAATAAATTCTGATTGTAGCATTAAGGAATTCACAGGAATTTGAAACAAAGACTTGATACATTTAGAAACAAATGGACTTATTAGCCATAGATGGCATGGTTTGTGCGGGGGAGGTCATGCCTCACTAACTCGATTGAGTTTTTGAGGAGGTGACAAACAGGATTGAGAAGGGAAAAGCAAGTGATGTTACATACATGGACTTCAGTAAAGCCTTTGACAAGGTCCCTCACGGCAGACTGGTACAAAAGGTGAAGTCACATGCTATCGGGGTGAGCTGGCAAGATGGATACAGAACTGGCTTAGTCATAGGAGGCAGAAGGTAGCGGTGGAAGGATACTTTTCAGAATGGAGGGTTGTAACTACTGGTGTTCCACAGGGATCAGTGCTGGGACCCTGGTGTAAAAATAAATGAATTGGAGGAAAATGTAGCTTGTCTAATTAGTAAGTTTGCAGTGATACAAAAGTTGGAGGAGTTGCAGATAGTGAGAAGAACTGTCGAGGATACAGCAGGATATAGATCAGTTGGATGCATGGGCAGAAAAATGGCAGACGGAGTTTAATCTGGTCAAATGTGAGGTGATGCATTTCGGAAGGCTAAGTACAGGTGGAAATTATGCAGTGAATATACAGTATTGATAATGCAGAAGGACCTGGGCGTGCAGGTCCACAGATCACTGAAAGTGGTAGCGCAGGTAGGTAAAGGTAGTAAAAAAGGCTTATAGCGTGCTTGCCTTGATTGGAAGGGGCATTGAGTATAAGGATAGGCAAGTGATGCTGCAGCTTTACCAAACTTTAGTTAGGCCATACTTGGAATACTGTGTACAGTTCTGGTCACCACACTACAAGAGGATGTGGATGCTTTAGAAAGGGTACAGAAAAGGTTTACCAGGATGTTGCCTGGTATGGGGGATTTTGACTATGAGGAAATGTTGGATAGTCTGGGTTTGTTTTCCCTGGAACGCAGGAGGTTGAGAGACAGCCTGATAGAAGTTTATATTGTGAATGGAATGGATAATGTGGGAAGTATGAGACTTTTTCCCAGGGTGGAGGGTCAATTACTAAGGGACACAGGTTCAAGATGTGAGGCGGGTGGGAGGGGAATGTTTTAAAGAGATGTGCAAGGCAAGTCTTTCACATAAATGCCTGGAATGCATTGCCAGAGGTGGTGGTGGAAGCAGACACAATAGCAGCACTCAAGAAGCACTTGGGAGGAACACATGATTAGGAAGGGAACAGAGGGATACACATCCTGTAAGGGAAGACAGTCTGAGAATCCAAGGGCAAAACATGGCGGTGCAGGCTTGGAGAGCAAGAAGGCCAGTTCCTGCACTGTATTGTTCTCTTCTGAATAGAAACGCGAGTCTTGAAGCCAAAAAATAAAATCGCACGGATGGGGAAAATCTTGCTCCTCCAAATCTCTTCAAAGGCAAAACAAATGCCTTATATTGCCAAAGACCACAGCATAAATGGGTCATATGACAATCAAAACAAGTCATGCTCACTCTCCTAGTGGAAGCGTGCAAGTACCAAAGTCAGTCTGGGCTCATTCAGGTGGTTCACCCAGGTCAAATCACACATGAAAGGCAACAGGACTGAAAGACAACTGATTGCAAGCAGACCTCTCAGCCTTTCCAACTACCTCAATCACTAAAAATAAATGGTCAAAGATATCTGCACTGTTTGAGCTACATCAATGCACCCTCTGACACAAATCATTTGTATAACATTAATGCACACTTCCACAAATGGTTTGCAAATGCACATTTGAAGATCCACATAAAATTCGGATTGGGGCCAGTGGGAGAGACAGGGAAAACATGTTTAAATACTACAGTCAAGAAAAGGATACTGTATTGGTTTCTGTGCTTGGCATTATCCTTCATATGTTTCAGCTGTTGCTGGTGACACTTCATGCTCCAGGGGTTATGTTTTACTTTCCCAGACTTCTTCTCAATACTATAATACAATACCTCCGACTTCTTAGATTCAAATTCCTCATCTAGTTTATGGCTATAAAAACAGAATTAACAGTTTTAATTTTTAACTTCACTGTCTGTTCTGAGAATTTCATGGCATACATACAAGATGATTTAATTTTAAAGAAAAATTACACTTTATCTGTACACCACAAAAAAAAACTGTCCAAAGTCTGCATCTCCCTACTAATTTTAAATATGTGGGCACAGTTTTGTAGTTAAAATTAAAAAGAGGTATACTTTTCATTATTAATGAATCAAATTGCAATTACTACTTATGTGGCAGATTGGAACAAACTAAAACCTTTCATTTAATGAGAGTATAAATAAATGAGCAAACAACATGTGGGGAAAAAAACTTGACTGGCTTGTTGAACTAAAAAACACTCTTCAGATGTTTTTGGATAAGAGCTGAGGACGGCATTATTTATTTAGAAAACAATATTGAAAACAGAAGGTCCAAAAGGCTGTGATAACTTTAAACTAATAAACACAGAAAAGACAAAAGTATTCTACTGTGGTGTAGATATACTAAGTGATTAAGACATTATACAACTAGCCCATGACTTTAGAGACCAACCTTTTCATTTTCTCTTCTTTCCTATTTTGCCTGACCCGTTCTTTTCCGTAATTGTCATTTTCTAGTAACACAGGTTTCTTATTACTCCATTTTATTAGCTTATTTTTAGGTTCACATTCGGAGTTATCTACATTTTCCAAATCAGCTTGGTCCCCTGATAATGGGTAGGCAATTAAGCATAGATTTCCTTCTTCATCTTCCTCAAAACTTACAGAAACGACTCCTACAAGAAGAACAGAAAACGAAATAATTGTCAGGTAGGTAGAAAGCAGACACAAAAACCTTAGCAACTAAATTAGTCACTTGATTGCACAGAGTAACAGTGACAACAAAAACAGCCTGTTTGCTTACCCAAGCCTTCAGTTTTTATGCAGTTGTGCCGGCTTTCAACCTAACAAATCAAAAAAAAAACTAGACAAAGACACCTCTATAATCTGGAAAAAAAATAAACTTCCAATTTATACAAAACAACCCTCCCCAGCTCAAACACTGCACATACATCAGCATATAATGAAATAGGAGTCAATAAAACAAGTGAGACAAATAGACTTGAGGAAGTTGTTTATTGGAACTGAAATTATTTTTGTGCAATTTATTGAGAAAATGTATCCAATAGAGCAACATGGAAAACACCACTTCATTCAAATCTTGAAGGCCAATGCACCATAATTCTCCAATTATGAAACAGAGCATAGCAATGCAATTCATAAAGCCAAATGGTAAAAAAAGGCTGATGCAGAATAGTGAATACAAAGCTTGCTGCAACATTCTGACACAGTGAAATACAGAATCCTGTAAAGCTTTGTTAAAACCAAGATAAACTGCAATTATGAGACACACAAGCCAGCACATAATCTCCCACAAGCTGTACATACAAATAATTACAAGGTTTAAGTATTACATTCCAATTTTTTTTTTGCTAATTATGTAAAAAACACCAATTCATAATTCCATTTACTGTTCTGCAATTCATTGCAAATGTAATGCATTTCCCCCTCACCCACAACGCAGTCAATGACCTGTGCTTGCTGCTTCGCAAATTCATTGAAGAGGTCTGTAAGTATATCTGAGGCCAGTCTTTGGTTTGGCTTAATGACTTTACAAAGAATTTAGTTCAGCTGTTGGTTGACTGCTGCTTCAATCCTAACTTCGTCTTTTTTCTCAACAGTCCAACAGCAGTCTGAATGGGTCTTTTGTCATCCTGCACGACTGCCAGACAGAGCATTCTGGATGAAGGAACCCGTAGTTCAGATTCGTGCACTGAGCAGCTGGCCATGGAGTAAACATCAAGAATGGATCTAACCAGGGGGGTGGCAGAACCCAGGTTGTCCTTCAGACAGACAGGGTTAACCGAGGGAAGCTAGGACAAGGGCTAGGGATTTATCCTGGAAAAAAAAAACATGAGGGGACGAAGAGGAGACATGAGTCCCAACCTTCCCCAAAGCACAAGACAACAAATCCCTGAAAAGAATTCTAAATTTACATCAAACACATGCTTCACATATTAACCTAAATTAGTCTCTTCTAAAATTTCATTTTACAAAATTCTATCTAAAAAATTACAATGCAAGATTAAAAGCTTATTTTTCTGAAGATATACAATTTAATGTTTCACATTAATGCATTCCAAATGAATGTTATATGATTGCCATAAATTAAGGAATTAAAAACTATGCCCATAACCCAGTACTGAAGTAGTTAACCTATTCATTTTACAAAAAAAACTTTATTGCTTAAATACTGATAGAAACTAAATCTGTTAACATATTTCCTCGACAATTTATGCACATTACTTTCTTCCCTCTTAAATAAAAAATGCATGTGAGATTGCAATGTCCAAATGTTGTCACTTACTGTACTACGAACTTTCCCAACTACAGTCTACAACAGAACTGGCTGACTCTCACACCCTGGTGGAGCTAGTTGTTCCAGTCGATCCCGTTCCCTCTAGGTGTAGGGCGTCAGGCTCTGAATGCTGCTTTTCCAGCTCTTACCTCAACTTTAAAAAGCCTGCTAAAGCCTACTGAAATCGTTAGAGAGAGAAAAGCTCCAGCGGTTTCATTTACACTTTAATAAAAACATACAATTTTGCACATTGGCAAGTCTTTAGAAACTGTACTTATTAAAATCTAATTCATGTTCAAGATTAAAACCTGAAAAAAAAACTTTACAAATACTTTACATTTTATCCTTCTTGGGTGAACTTACCTCCATCAGCAGACCCACTAAAGCATAGCAGAATACAGGCTACTCAAGCGGCACGCAACTACACTGCGATCTAGTTGGCAACCACGGCTTTCATCTGATAAATTTGAAACAAAAACAAGAGACAAATATTCTTCTCCCCACCCTCCCATGGTAACCCAACACCAGTGAGACTTTGTACAAGAACAAGGAGGAAAGAAAACAAAAACACAGAACACGTACGCATTGTCAGACTAAAAAGAAAGGGTTTTGTACTTACCTTTATACTTTGGTGTAAACCGGCACATCTCTGGTGGCAGTGTTTCATAAAACTGATGTTCCCGTTGAATGAGGGGTTTACAAATGGTCTTGTCATTAAAGCGGAGGACACACGAATGTCCTCCAACCTGGTGAACAAATGGCTCTAGGAGGACTCCCTTTGCATAGTTCTCCACTTCCATTGCTCCTAGTGCTGGGCTCATCCTTAAAGCACATTAGACAAACAAGTACTGCAGGCTGTATGAAGACTGTGACTATAACCCAGCTGGAGATTCTTCTCCCTCGGGTGGTCAATTCAATGCCAAGATCCTGCAATAACAATTAAATTCCCAAAGTTTAGGTTTTCTCAACTCTATAACCGAATCACCTCTTGAAGTATGTCAAACATTCCAGTAAACAATTTCTTGAGCTGCAACTCAACTATACCGACACACTGGGAAGAGCAATGAAATACTAAGCTGTGAGGTCACACACAAAAATAGCTGATCCAATTATATTCCACCTACGTCACAAAGTGTGACCAATTGACAACCACTTACTTTCAGTGGGGAGGGAATGGCAGCGTGTCAAACAGGGAAGGAGCTGGGCTGGGGAAAAATGCAGAACAATGCTGCCCTCAGCTGGTTTCTAGCTATTTCACAGTAGTCCCTTAACCATAAAGGATCAAAGTACAACATAAAATGCAATTGCACAATTCACACAACAAAGCTATCCTTAAAAAGGAAATAGTCTCAAGTTTATTTTTAAAACAAATTAACAAAAGATTAAAACACAGTTATTAAAAAGGAGAAAATCACGCATGTTTTCTTAAATACGGAAGAGAAAGCGAGATCAACAAGCACATTGAAATTGAACTCTTTAGTAATATGCAGTGGAACTCTATGGTCCTAAAGGTTAAATAACTAAATTAACACTTTTGCAATCTGCGCATCTAGTGTTTCACTGCTGTATGGTTACAAAATAATTTATAACAACTGCAGAAAAGTAAAAGGAAAATAAATTGTTAAAAGAAAATGCCTATACTGTCAGATTTTTAACCATTTTGATATAGTCTTTATAGTCGTATATTTAGAGTAATCAAATATTGGTTTTAAATTACTATCAACTAGGTGTCAAATCAGGAGACATGCACTTGTGCCATTGTTTTTTGCAGAACAAATTCTGCAATTTTAAAACAACCAGCATTGTACAGACTCACACTGTTTCAGATAAAATTACCGTAGCAAAACTCGGAACGCAACAAAAATCAGTTGTTTCTAGGCTTTACGTAAGGTTCAAAGAGAGAGCTCTCCTCAACAAGGATTACAATTTAACGAGCACAAAATCTCAGGATTAACTTCTGTGCTTCAACAAGCAAAAATTCAGCTACTGCATAATGAATGCAATACCTTTAACTTTATTTGGTTTTCAATTATTTAAATTCAAGCACAGGTCTCTTTTTGGCAAGGTGGGGAGAGCGTTAAGGGCAAAGAGCTAATACTCCACTTGGACAAAATACAATAAATGCTTTTACAATTCGGATTCAGCTCAACACCAAGACAAAAGATTTCATAAATTTCATTCTAGGCACAAACAAGTGATGCCATCTGCTGAGTCACAAGCTAATGAATCTGTTTGCTGAATACTAATTATAATGAATGCCAAAGGCTACAGCTCTAGCTGTAGAAAAACATACCCTCGCAGCAAGAAAACAAGTCATATTACACCCATGCCTCAATGATGACACTAATGCAACCACATACATTCCTTGTCAATGAGATTAATGGGTACAAGGATGACCAAATGGCCCCATTGTTGCCAAAGAATATATGCAGCTTGTCAGAAGCATTTGCTGGGGATTGCAAGAATGCAACATTTTACTTAAATATTATGCAAACATATTTGCACATTGTCAGAAACATTTCAAAGTTTCACACACTTGGTAGGTTTTAGTTGTAGGTGGTTAGTTAACTTCCTGCAGATACAAAATCTAACTCATTGTGAAGATTTAGCAGGTCTTTTCAAGGAAGATTTGAGACTAAAATCTTATAGATAGTAACCACGGCTTGATGTCCATACCCGTGGTAGAACTAACAAATGCAGATTACATTTCTGCATTACGTTGTACTTAGCAAGACATTATCAGTCAAACTTCTGCCTTTTAAGTTCTTTATCTTCCACACTCTAATTTTGTCAAATAATATATTTACATAAATATTGTCTCTTCACATTTTCTCACTAATCTCAATCTTGCTTTGATAAATTTCACAAAAGGCCATCAAATCAGAAAGAGTATTTAAGGATTTTTGTACTGGCATGACTTTTATTAATAAGGTACAGAAGTAAACCCAACATGCTACAAAGTATTACATGATGGTGACAGATGTCCACAAGTTTTCACGTGGGGGGCCACAATATTAGTTTATCACTGATCCTTCATCTGATGCCCTCTAAACATTACTGCAATTTGACGACAACTTAAATAACACCAGTTGCCCTCTAGTACATTTCCTTTCATACACATGAAATCTAAGCAACCTACCTGGCTGTTTTTCCTCCCCCTTCTAATGGTGCTTTAAGGTAACTTGAGGTACAATCAACAAGGGACACTCATTTAATCCATAAAACTAGTATGCTGTTACTATTGCAAGAAGAGCCACTGAATGGGATGAAAAGTGAGGATAATTATGCAGCAGTAGGGAGTTAAACAGGATATGAAAAAGTGCATAATACATTCACTTTAAAGGACTACGTATACATGTACAGGAAATTATGCCATGCTGCATGAATATCAACAAATATACAGCAACCTAAAGTTTGCATAAAATTTTATTTGCAGAGCCAAGGCATTTAGAAGTCAAAGCTTACATTAGAACTATTTTATATAGATGCCAAATGTTTGCAGTTGATGGCTTCAAACTGTAACATAACATTCCATAAAGTTAACAATTTTACAAATAATGAATACTTAAAATATTCTTTAAATTATTTGAAACCTTGCGGTGCGGCACAGAAGGCTCCAGAGCCAAACTAATACAGGCACCTCTGAAGTAATGAGTTGCCAAAAGAATATTTATAAAACAATATTTATGTTTCAAATGTGATAACTCACAATAAAACAAAAATATGAAAAAAAAACACTTATTTCACCTTTGCAAATCTCTGTCTGTCACGATCATTTAACAGCCAAAAGTTCCTAACAGCAATGCTAAAATGCCTTACGTTATGTTTACCCTTCATCTTCCAATCCTGCAATAATGATTTGATTTGAAACTCTGAACATGTCTTTTGATTCAGATTTGAAATATATTAAATGCACTATTAATGCAGAGAGAAACCCAAATGAAAATAGTACATGAATGCAAAGTGAGCACACACTCGCTACACTGTTTCCATTAAGTCTCAAGTATGATATCTGAAAACCTCAAAATTCCAGATGAACAACAAACTGCATTCTAAAGTTATGTTTCGTACAATTGGCACGAGGTTCAAGGTTACAAAGAAACATTTTAACAATGCACCACACAATGAAACCTTGAATAAGCTCGAGAATTAAATTTTGATATTTCAAAATAGAATATTTGGAAATAAAAGTATGAAACTTGGGCAGTCATTTGAAAATTCTGATTTTAATTTACAGAGACAATTGTTTTTATCTTTTCAAGCCAGAAATTCTGTGACAAAATTTTAAAAGTTAGCCACAAATCTATTTGGCATAGACCACAACTATTAGTTGCTGCTAATAAAAACAACTGCTGGAAATACTCGATAGGTCTGAAAGCATCAGTGAAGAGGGAAGTAAAACATCAGATTTTTACAATGATCGGCAATCTTGGTTTTCCTTTATGAAAAAGGGAGTTCTGCACTTCTTAGATAACTGCAATCAGGGCTCCCTAAGAAATGCAGAGTGGTACTTCCATTCTGACAGTTCTTTTGTAGTGGAGAACTGTCAGAGGAAGGCAAACTGACACCAGTTTTCATAGCAGTCAGGAGCCAAATACTAAAACTCAAAATTCCTGACAGCCACTTTAACAGCTTCTATCAAACTTAAGGAGAGTATGACATCAGAATGTTGAGTGGATACAGTGCGAAGTGAGCAAGGATTAGGGAGTCAAATAAGTACGGTGTCAGATGGGGAGGATGCAAGGTTCCAGGGATAAGATGGGAGTGAGGGTGCAAGGTAAGTGATGCTGTGTTTACATTCGGTCAGGGTGGCGAGTGAAGAGAGAGAATTCGGTCTGGACAAGCAGGAGGTTTGGCAGGTCAAGATCTGGGGAGGTGTAACTGGTGATATGAGAGATCGGGGTGGGGGTGGGGGGGTGGGATGTGTTGAATAGTTACTCAGGAGTTAAGCTATGCATTTAATAGTCTGACCTTTCCTGAGTAACTATTTTACTCTATTTCATTGGAACCCTCGAGGGTTTCAGGTATACAGGAATTGCCCAGCAAAAAATTCAATTTCCCAGGCAATTCCTTGGAATCTCCATTGTGGTACATTCCAATGAGGTGTCATTCACAAGTCCTAGCCACAATGGAATAATGAGTGCCTAGCCAGCAGAAAACCCAGACCAAAGTAAACATTGAGGAAGAGCCATATTTGACTCTGTTCTAAATATGAGTCATATTCAATTTAAACTAGCTGAGTATTTTGAACACTTACTGAATTTTATTTTACATTTACAGAATCTTATTTCTATATTAGATATTGCTACCTAACAATTTCATGCATAGGAGTTCTGAATTTTTTCACTCAGTGATTATGCAACATAGGCAGCACATATGGAAGTCAAGCGGTGGAGCAGGAAAAAAAGTTGTCAGTCAGTCAAGGAATAAAATGATGCAATGTATAAATTAAATGTGAAGAGTAGATTTAAACGTCAGTTGGAAATTCTCAAACTTATTTGGAAAGCTGCAACTGATTTAACATAATGGGTATTTTTAAATAGCTACAAAAATGTGCTTCAGTATTTACCAATTGAAAATACGAGTAAATCAAAATTAAAAGTGAATTTTCTATTTAAAATATTGATGGGAGATTTTATGACAAAACTTTGAATCTTGAATTATTTTTATGAGTTTAATATTGCATTTCTTTTAGATCTACAATTTACAATTCACCTCCACTGCAAGATACAATAACACGATGCTAATGGAAAAGTGGACCAATGACTGTCAGAACCATTTTAAACTGTCAATAAGGTATTTGAAATGTAAACAAGCTTTGGGGAACTCAGATCAATGTTTATCACCTGCTCACCATCTGTCAGATTTATTCATGCAATGACAGGAGGTTCCTTTTCCTTCCAGATGTATGCTGAATTGCATACTATTTTTATACATGCATGTGTTTTAATAAATGGATGAGTGTTGTTGGCTGTTAAGAGTTAATCTAAAACCTCAGACAAACCAGCTAACGGAAGTTTAAAAAAAGGCTCTCTCCATGCAGTGGAGGCACAACTGTTAAAAGATCTTTCAGGCAC